CGTATGACAGATAGAGTTGTCAAAGTGACTGATTTTTGTTCGGAATCAAAACAACAACAAAGTGTCTGTTTTGGTTTTTGTTGTTGTTTTGATTTCTTACACTCTCATTGCATTCTACTAGAAACTGCAAAATATTTGCAATTTTGCAAACAATTCTAAATTACTTATTTGTGAACAATTATATGGTTTTCCAAGTATGAATTAGATTGAAAATGATTTTGAAACGTGTTTAAATTCAAATGGTACGCCTTTTTTGTTTCCAAATGTGTTAAACTCAATAGCGTTCTAGGCGTGAAATAACCAAAAAGTTCGTTGTTTTTCGTCAGCGTACCATCAAAGAGCGACTCAAAATATTCCCAAAAATCCAGTCACCACTGCAACAGACAATATTCATACGACCTATTGATTATATATTTTCCTTATATATTAAAAGAAGGGAATATTCCCTTCTTTATCATACATCTAAAGAATTAATTATTTCCTTTTCTTATATTTTCAAAGAAGGGAATATTCCCTTCTTATCATATATTTAACGAATTAATGATGTTCTCTTCTATTCCCTTCTTTATCGTATATCCAAATAATTAAATCTTTCTTTTTGTTATATTTTCAAAGAAGGGACAGTCTTAGACTTTTGAATATATCTCAACGCTTGGTTTCTCTTTATCAAATCTTACGGTACGTACGGAAAGGTAAATAAATTTGGAAGCCACGAGTAATAATAACATACCATTTGGTGCTAAACTGCGCTAGATTAAGAACGACTAAGTGCGGGTTGTGCTTAATAGGCCGGAAATGGGGAAGTTAACCCTACGCGAAAGAAGACTCCAGGAGTGACTATAATAAAAAAAAATAGTCAATCTAATAGGCATACTTTTCTGGCGAATGGTACATTCTGGGGAATGGTTTTATTGGGAATAGTCCGTTCTGGGGAATGGCTTTCTGGGAAATGGTACATTCTGGGGAATGGCGGGGGAGAAGTAGCTCATCGATTCTTCCGGTTCGTCTCCTAGCATCGTGCTATAAGGTACCAGGCGATAACCAGGGTAGTTGATCGATAGCTCGATGACGTCATTTCGTTGGCGTCTGCAATGGGAAATTCTCATAGCAGGCGTTGACAATGGGACGTTGTCGAGTTGTTGAATAGCAACTATCGTGGTAACTCACCGATTACCTGTCGATCTGCCAAATTTGGAAAGACGTCTGCATTGAATTGTCTCATATAATAATATTCCGCCCACTATATCACAAGAAAATGCGAGTAGCTGAGTGGAATGAAGATAAGTTAAGCATTGGGTACAGGACTAAGTCTCCGCTGGGTGGTGCCAAAAGATGAGCGCAATAGAATCATCAAGTTGCCATAAGGCACGGAATGAGACTATTGCATGGCTGGGTAGTCAAAGTCTTCCATTCGTTAGTCATTTCAGGTGGATTAGAACAGGTTTAGGTGGGCGTTGGCCATTTGGATTTTTCAGATGTAATCCTGGATAGGACCCTGTCATTGAACGTCGCGTGAAAGTGGAACTTAATTAAGGCCTAAGTACTTTTTCGTAGTTTTTAGTTTTCGGATTTGAAAGATCGTCGGTTACAGTGGCCTGCTTACTGAGCAGAAAAACGCGGTCCCAGGTCCTTACATATCAAAGAGATTTATGGTAAAATCGCTTGTGTATCGTGTATTTTGCGAAACTCGTTGTTGTCGTTGGTTCCGGGTTTGAATGGATACACAAATTTGAGCAACGGTATTATGTGATATGAGGGGCTCGGTGGCCTTAGAGCAACCGTTTTTGCTTACTGAGCAGAACATCATGAGTCTAATCTCAGGCCCATCCACATTCAAGATTCGTCAATCGTTTTATTTGTTAATATGACTACATGGTAATAACAGCAACTCGATGATTAAAAAGGTGCTCGTCTGCCTAGTGGCAAACGGTTTTGCTTACTGAGCAGAAGACCGTGGGTTTAGTCCCAAGCTCCTTCGCGTTATATGATCGTTAGGACATGAATTCAGCTTATCGTTTACCAAAACGAACCCTGCTGCAAACCCAACCCTCTTATCCAACATCCCAGTGATTCCTCGTGGAAGTGCAGAGGTGTTCTCGGCTTCCATCAAAGCGAGTGTCATGTCAACACAATCCTTCCCATTCCTTTCTTGACCTGTGTTCGGGCGCGGCCGGCGCTGGTATTGCCTAATTTAAGATCACCAGTTTTTACACATTAAGGATGATTGCTAGTCCCAAGCATCGTCTATTGGTTCTCTGTGTTATTACAGCTGATCTGGCAGTAACAGAGTAGCAACCGTGGGCGGTCAATCAAGCTCAAGCTCAAGCAAGCTCAATGGTACATTCTGGGGAATGGCTTTCGGGGGAATGTCATACAATCGACATCTGGCTCCGTGTTCGCGGGAAATATTTAGTTAAGCCATGAACCGGCATGCAAAAGTTATGAATTGGTTCGTGTCTGATATATTCTGGATAAATTATTTTTATCTAGATCAACAAATCCTATGGTTTTGACAGTTCGGATCACTGCGCATTTAAATCGGCGGTTTACGATTTTCGGGCATAAGTCAACATTAAGTGTCATGTCGGTTTGTCGGTGTGAATATGGCACTAAATCTGGTTTTGAAAGTTGGTGCACAGGTAAAAAATGAGGTTACGGGACGCCACTGCGTTAAATGCGTGTATGACGATTAAGGAGAAAGTGATACGTCTGTTTGTCTGTGGTTGTACTTCAGCAGAATATGAAAAAACGGGTGTCCTACGTTAAGCCTGGTACGCAGCTGAAAAGTAATGACGTTTTTACGTGCTACGGGATAGGACACGGAATGCAAAAGAAATTACTTTTCCTCAGCATTTCTTGACCCAGTACGCAGTTCAAAAGAAATTGGTAAAGGAAAGATCGATTACATTAGTATCGTGATCGACATGAAGGTGGCGCATTCTGAATGCAATTTCACTTTCCTTGCGGAATAATGGTCTGATCAATTATTCCGTTAGGTAATGTTGGCGTTTATTGCAAAACTGATGTTTTGGATGCATTTAAACAACATAAACACTAATAAGTGTTGATTTTACAATCTGACGACATCTCCCTATAATCTCAAAATTTAGCAGCCTATAGCTGTCAAATTTTCTTTTGGGAAAAATCCTCAAAAATTACTTTTCCGTTTTCTTTTCAGCTGCGTACCAGGCTTTAGGCGGAAACACGAAAAGCGGAAAATACCTAATACCCCGTACAGACTATGGCTTTTTTCTAGTTTTCACTGGAAATCCTATGTATGAGTGCTCATTACAAGACAAGCCTATATTACATGATATAAGCCATAGTCTGTACGAGGTATAAGAAATTGAATTGAAAAGGCAGAACTAACGAAAGGCAGAATATCTTAATGCTAATAAAAAATATGCGGAAGGGCCGTTTGTTCTGCTGCACACAGAGAAATGATTTTTAAATTCATATGGATATATTTTTGGCTCAGGGCCTAATATATTTTTGGTATTGATTCAAATATATTATTCGGTTAGTTCAAAGAAAAATATTTTTGAATCAACAAACCGGTTGTAGAGTCAATAATCTGTTTGTTGATTCTAAAAACCATTTTGTTGATTCAAAAATATGTTTCGTTGAAATAGTGATACAATATGTTTGAATCAATAACAAAATACATTAGGCCCTGAAACAAAAATCCATTTTTCTGCGTGTGGTTAGGTCCGTAGGCAGAATCACATAAAGCTAATTAAAATTAGGTGGAATTTACCTAATTTTAATTAGCTTTATGTGATTCTGCCTACGGACTTCGCACATAGAGGTTGATTGTTCATTCACGTTTAAGTATCTAAAAACCTGTCTTTTTTCTTTATTTTTTAAAATGAGATCTTGAAAATGGTTTAAAGCCACACAATGATGAATATTTCCAGAGTGTGCTATTTAGATAGGGATAGTGACGGCTTCGACACTTCTTTACATAGTATCGTCAGGGGGTAAACGAAATCCTTGAGTGCTGATTTTTTGCTAGGTGCATTATATTCTGGAGCATCGTTTTGCAAAAAAACGACGATAGTATTTAGAAAAAGAAATCTAGTCCAAAATATGTAATGTGTTTTGTTTCATTCCTCCTTTTTAATGTATGCCTAGTGTTCTGTTCTTCCTTTTTAAGATTTTGCTTTTTGTGATTCTGTTTTTTGATAGGGTCCCGAACAGCTCATGATAAAAAAAGGGAAAATAATCATTAAATTGGTGTTTACCCTTCTTTTGAAAATGAGCTGTTTTTCGTGTTTATGCCAAATGTCCTCCATGCCACACGGGGTAGAGCCAGTGTATATATCGCTAAAACAGCTATTTTATCGCAGTGAACATGCATATGGATGCGCTAAAATTTTGAGCAAACGGTTCGAGAAAGAAGATAAGAAGGTATGTTTCGTATCTAAGCTAAGAAAGAAAAAAAGCTATCGGTGAAACTATCACGATCTTGCTGATCGACGACAAACCATCAACGCAGTTCTTCTCCATGGATTGGGAAATTTCCACAATCAAACTACTGGTTCGACTCAACAGCAACAAGGTTGGTCGGCTAGTATCGGCGTTGGTGGTACAACTGGTTGCGCTCAGATCGCTGGATTCTTCAACGACCGGTGCTAGCACCGCGGACGTATTATGGCATATAATCGGAGGCAGCCGGTAACGGGCAGATTCGATCATCGCCTTACGTCGCCGGAACACTTTCAAGAGTTTTGCGGGCCACGGAGTGGATTGATTGCTAAGAGCTGCGGTGGCGGCGGCGGCAACAGCAGCAGTAGCCGTAGTGGTCGACTGGGAGGCAGCTTTCTGGAAGAGAGATAGACGGGCGGCCGCCTTTCGTGTGTCACCGGTAGAGATTTGTCGTTTGGAAGTGACACCGTTTGAAGAGGGTTGACTTGTCTGATGTGTTAGTTTGGGAAGACGCGGCGTTTTGTGTTGGGACTTGTTAGATCGCGCACGGGAAGATTTGCTACTGGTAGTACCTTTCTTTATCGGTGGACACTCCTTACTTGGGGCGTTGGTTTCCGTGAGCACAGATGAAGATTTGTCCTCTAGAGGAGAAATATTCACAATTTCCTCGCTACTCGTGTCGGGACTTTTGACCATGGCAGCTTTCTTCTCGCTTTCCAGCTCGTATGGTTCTGCTTCGTCCACTCCTAGATGGTAATACCTGAGGAAACAGTTTTTGATCAGATTCAATTAAGGAGCAATTAAGAACGGAATCGGACAAATACCTAATAAGTTTCCTAGCAGCGTAGATGGCGGGTTGTGTTTCAACGTTTGGAGTCAGATAGACTCGATTTAGATTGTGGCCACGGGTGTCCGATCTATACAAGCCGTTGTACACTCCGTCCGGATTTAAAAACGGGATAATTTTGAACACATACATTCTCCTGCAATACCAAAAGTAAGATATTTATGTAACAACTAAAATCATAAACAGAAACCCACCTAAGCGTAATAGACACGATGCTCTTGCGATCGAGCAGCATACTGAAAAATCCGTTCAGCACGAAACTGGCTGGCGTCTCACCCGGATGAACACGCGAAGAGATGAAAACTACCTTCTTATGCTTAAACGTATGGCACCGCGGTGTCTTTTCGTCGGGAAACAGATTGCGCAGCCGTTCCTCCCGGGTGGTCTGGATTCCGTGGAACGAAGTGATCGTCAGCAGTTCGATCCGTCTATTCTCCACCGAATTCGTCAGCAGTTCGCGATAGTAGTAGATATCGTCCCGGGGGTCCAGATTGGTAGCTTTCGCATCGTCTTCCAGAGTGGGAGTGCTCAGCAGCTGCTGGAATATTGGTAACTTACACTTGCCGAGATCAATCTGCGGCGGTAACTCGATTTTCACCTTTTTCACAAGGTTCGTTATTTGTTGCATCGATTCGGATGTGTTGTTATCGTCGATCGACATGGCCGACGGTACGTCACATTCTTCCAGAAGCCTTCCGCCGGGATCGCTAACCTTGGGCACGATTCCTTCGTCGTTACCGATTCCATCACGAGCCGTATCGTCAAACGATTCCGGGCTGGACCGTTCGACCTTGGCCACCTTGACGAGCTTCCCCTTTTTGCTGCTGTGATGCGCCTGGCTGTGGTGGCTAACCGGTAGGGCGATCTCCACTGGACCAACGGGAACGGACGAATCATATCGTTGCGTTATTTCGTACGCTATCTGATTCATCTCGAACGGATGTCGGCCGAAGCGTTTGTCAAAGTTGCCCAACTGTTCCAGCAGCTCGTTGTAGGTGAAGGGAAATGTGAATGCGTAGTATGTTTTGGTGTCGGATGATTCCGGTGCTCGGTGGAGAAATGATATGAAGAACACGTCGTTGGCGATCTGGAATGAGTGAAGAAAAGTATCAGAAAACCATGCTTTTTGGAATACCTATACAAATTAGGAATCAACAATTTCTCTACAAATATTGAATTGGTTAATTGAACACTGCCTATACATGGCCGTTCAATTCAAACCGGAGAAAAACCCTCTCCATTAATGCCGCTATTGCCCCTTCGAGATTTTCGCAACATAATTTTTTTTTGTATTAATTTATTTGTACAGGCTCAATTGAATAAACTTTACAGAGCAAAGTTATCATTTGCTTTATAAATAATTGATGTCTTAAATCTAGAGTTAAAGGAATTGAACCGATTACTCGCGGTCGTCTCGAGGTTAGTAGAGATGTACAGTTTTATAGATGGGGAGAAGGAGAAGGATGTTTGAGTTATGATTTACGATACAAATATTTCATTATTCCTAAAACATGAACTTATTCCTATTCAATTTAGTATCCGCAGCGTAATTATAAAATTAATACAGAAACAAACATTTATATAAAAAAAACCACACGAACAAAACAAAAACTAAACACAAGGTTAGTCAACTGGAACATTAGGTTGTCTACCTCGAGCCCGAAGGGAATCGTATAGCTCAGATCTAACTCCGCGATGATCAGCACAATATATCAGTTATTTTAAAGTTACATACATTCTATAAAAATTCTAAAGTTTTCGACGCTTACATCTGCAAAATTTGTATTAACTAAATAAAGGAACATTTTGCTTAACTGTTTAATCAAATATTGTTTTGTTGCTCTTGTAAATGTTGAGAAGACTGGATACATAAACTTTTCTGATTCCATGCGACGAAGCCTAGAGTCTAGATGAGCTAATAAAGACTTCTGATAGAACCAGACATTACGACTCCTTGTGCACTTGAAGATGCGATGAACGATAGTGTCAATTTCTCCTGGACATAAGGCACACAATGGGCCGATTGTTGGATTTTGGCGATGAAGAAGCTGGTTGTGGGGAATCCTCTCATGTATCATGAGATACCACGCTGACCGTTGCTCAGCTGGAAGCAGGCTGGAGTGAATGTTTTTAAAGACCGCTTTCCAGTTTATCTGCGAGTCGATGAAGGTCGGTAGATCCGGAAGCAGCGAAAGGTAATGTTGGTACAAACCACTCGCCGTCAGTTTCTCCTAAAGATTGGAGGAGATATATGACATTTCCTGCAATGCCAACCTAGCGTGCTGAAATTCTGCAGGGATAGTTGGGACGTTCGGTGGATTACCAGATCCTTCCAGAAAATCGGCTAGCAGTGTAAGTTGATCCAATGACTTTACCAATCGATTCAGTAGAAGAGCTTTTGATTTTAAACCACCACGGTTTTTTGGAAGCGTAAGATTTTGAAAGGAGATCTTGAACTGTTGAGGGTGCCCCATCCACAGGAACTTTCTCAGCTCAGTTATAATGCGAGCTTCGCAGTTTTTTGGCAAGTACACGATAGAGGCCACGTACCACATTTTTGAGCACACATACGTGTTTAGTAGTGTCACTCTTAGAGTAAGTAGCAAGTTTCTGGGACTTTGTTCCCAAATCCGCTGTTTCATACCCGATAAGATCGAATTCCAGTTGAGATCTCTGGCAGTTCGGGTTTTCTCGCAATAAAAGATACCTAGGATCTTGACGTGGTTCTCAATTGAGAGCCACTCGGTAGCTTCAGTTAAGTTGATGTTGCCTATCATTAAACCCACAGTTTTGCTTCGGTTGAGAATTGCTCCTGCTTCTTCACCAAAGTTTGTGAACAGCTCAGAGACTTGCACTAACATTCCTTCGTTTTCCAGGAACATCGAGATGTCATCTGCGTAAGCATTAATTATCACGCCAGGAAAAGCTCGCCTTAATACGTCCAGTAGAGGTTGCATATACAGTACAAAAAGTAACATTGACAAGGGATCTCCTTGACGGACCGAACGCTGGATGTGGATTTCGGGAGTTAGATGAACATTCACTAATATCCTAGAAAAAGAATTCTCCATGAACTTTTTGATGAGTTCTACTAGTGCCGGATTGAAATTCATTCTTAACATTGTTTGCTGAAGAAATGAATGATCAACGCGATCAAACGCGTGGTCCAGATCAAACGAAACTAGCAGCGCGTTCTGATGCCGATGCTTCAGTTCAGATATCCTATCCCAGATTTTTGTCGTTGCTGAACACTTCTGATCAGCGGATAGCACCAGTGGAACAAGTTTTTCCATGCGCTGCTTCAGGATACGCGAGACGGTTTTGAAGTCAAAATTTAACAAAGAAATGGGACGAAAGGCGGACATATCTTTTTTGTTACTTCTTTTCCGTACAAGAACTAGGTAATATATCTTCAAGAAAGTATTTTCATTTATATCCATGGTAACGTTGCCATCTCGAAGTTCGAGCAAGTTGATGCTTGTTCGTGCTTTGCGTGTTGACCGCTCGTTCAGATGAAACAGGCTTGTCTGCTCACATAAGATGAATTGTTCCTTCGGAGCTTTGTTGAGAAATTTCGCTGTAGTTGAAGAATTTGTCCCTTGATGCGATTGATGTTAAAACGTTCGTGCGGATTTCCAGAAAGTCGATTAACCACGTGCAAAAGCTGAGTTTGATAAATTTCCATGGTTCCACGAAAATCATTGAAGAGCAGCGATGTTTTCCATTTAAGAAAGGAAATTAGTTTCGGCTTACAAAAAGTGATCCACCAATCCATCCATGTTGCATAATGCCTTCTGTTTCGGACTCAGTATATCCATTTTCGTTCAAGTTCGGAGAATGCTTCAGGTTTGTCCAAAACTTTCGTAACAAGACTCCTCACACCTCTACCAGCTGATGTGCCAAGGTCCGATAAAACTATCCGTACGATGTAAGCCTTGTGATCAGTGAAAGCAGTAGTGCAGAAGTAAGCATTCCTTAGCCATCCCCGCATGGTTGCGTCTACCAGAATCCTGTCCAATCGTGACGCAGAATCGTGTCGCAGTAATGAATATTCTACTCGAGTTCCATTCAGATTTGTCCACGTATCGGTGAGTTTCATTGAAGTCATCAATCGTTTCAACGTTGGACTCTGGTTGCCGGAGCCGATTGCATCCCTTTCGTTCACCACGCAATTGAAGTCACCTCCAAATATTATATAATTAGATGCCCGTTGCAAGTAAAATGGCACGATGGAATTAAAGAAGCTTTCGCGGTTACTTCTGTTTTGTGAACCAGATGGAGCATACACATTCACAAAGGTGACCTGCCCTATCTGGAGAGAGATCAAACGGGAATCTAGACTACGATGCACATTTTGATATTGGAGCAGCTGCTTGACTGCAATTCCAGTTCCCCTTCGGCGCTCATCCACATTGAAAATCATGTCAAATTCAAGTAACTCCAACAGCATATTTTCCACCTCCTGCAGGAATATTACGTCAAGGTCAGCTGATCGTATAAATGTTCGCAAAGCAGCGAGTTTCGTGGGGTTTGTAATATTGTTTATTTTGATGGTAAAAATGTTGTAGCTTTTTAGATCCATTTTAATGACGATTTTAATACCTGGAAGGTCTCTTGCTTTCGGTAGTCTTGGGTGATCCCGGATGGTTACGGGTGCGTTGATTTTCATTGGAGATCTCTCGCTGGTTCCGGTTAGGTGACTTGAGAATTTTCTCACTCACATCAATCACTTCTTGGACGAGTTGAGATGACCGCTGTCCCGTTGGGGAGGCAGCAACAGCAGTAGCGGAGTGAGCAGTTTGGCATTGGAATTTCGTCCTCGATCGAAACGAAACGTTCGCTTGGCGATATGTCCCTCGAAATACTTATTGCAGTTGTTGGATGTCCAGCTTCAATTGGTGTCTCCGGTGAATTCAGTTTTTTTCCCTCACGCAATGATTTTGCATATTCGGAGCACTTCATGGTGTAGTACACCCTTCGGTTGCAGTGACGGCAAGTGGGGATCTGGTTTTTGTGTGTGACGAGGGTCATATGTGAGATATCTGCGGATATTGTCACATACGACGGAATGGGTTTAAAAATGCGCATTCGAACTATACTCACTCCATTAGGAACCTTGTTGAAAAGGATCCTCCAGTAGTCATCTTTTATCGACAACACCTCACCAAACTGCGTCATCTGTTCCGCGATAATATGGTTTGGCATATCAAACGGCAAATCATGCAGCTTAACATCCGTTGCTCCATCGGCAATAAAGAACGAAATACGGTAAGTGATGTCTTTGTACTCCATCGTGTGCTTGAGGTTGTGCTCTTCAGCGCATTGTTCTGCAGATTCTATTGTATCCATCTTGATGAATACGTACGATGTGATGTTGTTGAGCGGCAATCCTCGCACTTTACTCCAATCAAGCAGAACATCTTTCGCGATGAAATCGTCCACTCGGGACGGTTTGGGGTTTGCTGGCATGACACTGAAGCCAATCACGCATAGTTGGCGGTTGGCCATGTTTGTGTTGTGTGCTGGTTCCTTTCGAAAAAGAGTAGCAAAACTCGTCGGACGGGTGTCCGGAAAAAGTAAAAAAATACAACTTTTTCTCTGCCGTAGTATTACTCGTCCGTACACAGTAAGGCATAGGTGTCAACTGAAATAATGTGATCTGCGTCCTGGTAACCTTGTCCACATTCACCGCGATTGCTGTCCCCCAGCACAACACGGGACAATAAGCGTTTAACGAGTAGTGATTGGACATGAGGCGAGACATCATACGAATGAAGTCTGGACCCACATCCAACCAAGGACTCTTCGACACCTTAGAGATGATCGAATATAGCCATCGTCCCAAACACCCTTCACTCCATTTATTCTGCCAGCTGACGAGTGACTGTTGACGAGAAATGAAGAAAAATTCGTTGTAGGCGATTTGTCGATCGTAAATATCGCCTTCCATAGCGCCCATCTTAGCAAGTGAGTCCGCCATCTCATTGCCCGGAATCGAGCAATGAGATGGGACTCATGCAAAGGTGATGACAAAAGATCTTAAAGATAAAGCACTTAGAAGCTCTCGTATTTTCATGAGAAAATACGAGGAGTGCTTTACCGGTCTCATAGAGCGAATAGAAACAACAACATAATTTAATGTTTCCGCGATTTTCTCGACTAATAGTTTAAATCCGCGAAAATCGCGAAATCGGTGAAATTCATGAAATCCGCGCGGTTATAACAGCCCTGAATTTCTTGAAAGATCAATGTGTAATGCCTATTTCATGAAAAAAAAAATACGATCGGCTTCACCCCCACTGTGCATTTGTATCAGTATAGGAAAAGGTGAGTTACTGCTTTCTCTCCCCAGTTTGTCTGGGTTCAATCCCAGCCGAAGTTATTGGGATTTTTCAGAGGCAAACGAGGGAGGGAAGTAAAGCCCTTGGCCTAAGCCCATGTGTTAATGGGTTCGAGAGGTTCTATTTATGGCAAAATAACCCGAGCAAAGTCAGTCAACAAAATGAAAGCAGTTTTGTTTAAGTTTGCAGTTTCTATAATGATGAAAACGCATTTTGATTTCAATTGTCGAGAGATAACACTGATATCATATTGTGGCTTCATTATGCAAGACTTTTTAAATGAAAGCAACTTAACTTGAAATTCTGCTGTTAACGTCTAGTTTAAAATTTAATTTAAGTCCATCTGTCGTTGAACTAATGATTATTGTTTATTTGTTTTATTAAAACACTTTAGGTCATTCGTGACTTGCCCGGGGGTTAGATTTAAGCTCAAGTCTTTCAGCGTGGGAAGCATGGATGTTAACCATTTATGCCAGGCCCGTATTCAGTTAAACATTATGAATGCAAAATTAGAAATCAATGGGTGTCGACTCAAAGTCGAAAATAAAATTCCCTGACTTTCCAGTCGGTTTTCAGAAAAATTCCAGTCCACAAAACTTCGTTATTTTAACCTAAGAAGCTACAACGTGATGTGCTTTATTATACCGCAGCGTAAATTAAGGTTAGTTTAAAATGAGCAGCAGGGTAAGCTTTCGAAAATATCAAGAATAGCATACTCATGGCACTTACAACAGAACTTGATACTAATACAATTTTTACAGACCATATGACCGACTACCTACGAAGGATGTGAATAGACCTAGGGCTTTAAATACATATTATAATATAATAATGAATAACTACTGCTCACAACTAGACTCCCTATTCATTACTAAGTAAGGGGTACCACAAAAGATCAAATAATGGACGCAGCTCTCAATTTGTGTTCATAATTTCACAGCCAAATAAAAATCAACCCGTAGACGATCCTTTATCTTTACATATAAATTATTGTAAAATAAATACAAAAAAAAAAAAAAGGCATTAGTCAGTTTCGTACTCTCTAGAACTCCATATGACAACCGCAGATATGGTAAAATAATTTAAGTTTAATTATCATTAACATTTTATTCTCTCAGTGAGTTCACATTACAACGAGAAATTGCAAGTTGAATATGAGTTAATTTTCGGATTACTTTTAAAAATGTTTATCATGAACACTTTTCTCCTGCAAACGACGATCCTTGTCTACATGGAAAGCGAATGCGATTTTTCGAACTCGCTGAATAATTTCATTCAAAATTTGTAAGTTTTCGAACCCGCTTGCATGAGTAACACCATCATAGATCTGACGTTGCACTACGACTGAAGGCCCAAACGCAATGTGGGCGGAAGCGGAACGGAAACGGTGTCACAAATGACATCAAGATGCCTAACCGCACTCGATTTGATTCTAAAGGCCGGCGCACAATAGATACGTTTTCAGGTTTTTTGACAGTTAGCCCATGCATTATCTGTCAAAAAACCCGAAAACGTATCTATTGTGCGCCGGCCTTAACTAGTTTTCAATCCGACAAATAGGCTTACTCAGATCGGGCTTTTCCGCTTCCACTGCCGTTCCGCTGTCATTGCGCTTGGGCCTTGACTCTTCCCTCATGTTTTCAAAGATATTCTGCATTTACCGAAAAACCTCACTCTGCATTGGCGTTGCCATGCGATAAGCAGCAAATCATTTTCACAACCAACAATAGTTCTGAATACGCCGACCAATAACCTGTGCCAAAAAACGTCCAGTCGTTCCGTTTTTGCGATCATATTGATCAAATGTGCAATATTGTTATTATTATTTATTATTAGTCCATCTGACTTTAAAGTCTTAATAAAACACTTAAAGCTAAAAGTAGTCATACATTAAAATTGCCCGACATTAAGCGATTACGAAATCTGGATGAAGTGATGCCAAAATTGAATTGGTCGGATACCACGTTGAATTCGTTCAATTCGTTCCAGTCTATCTCGGACAAGGAACGTCGCAGCAAACGTAAATCAGTCTTCCGGAAGTTGAGACGATAGACAATCGAAGTTTCATCAAAGTGAAGTTGAGATCTATTTGCGATAGAAATATCCAAAGCAGGATGGAAGTTGTCAAGAGGAACGATGACATCATGCGCCTCAGTAACGGTAGTCAGGAAGTGAATTTTCACTAACGAACACCAAGTCTAGGAAATGAGACTGAAAGTTGGGAACTAGATTTATCTGCCTCAATCCATGAAAACCAGTACCGTCCACAAGCAAGCGGCTGGCCGGAGTAGTAACAGATGCTTTTGGATCTGGATATGCAAATCCCTGACCTGAGTGCGACCAGATAAGCCCAGGTTGATTGAAATCACCGAGCATAAGAATCATGTCCGAATAATTAGCCCTAGAAGAAGCAAATTCTACAACATCCATATGAAGTTGCATTATGCTACAGTCGAGACGTCGTTCAGAATGTACACCGTTCAGATGGTTAATATTAATGAACCTTTCCATAACGCCTCTAACCATTGAGACATTGCGTTGCACAAAAAAGGCACCATAGGGTTGTCCATCTGAAATTCGCATTGAAATGGCTCAACTTCGACAGCAACTGATTTAAAGAAAGCTAGCTTAATACCACGTTCAGACTACAGAGTTATAACATGTTATAACGTTTGTCAAATATAGCAACACAGAAACCACCATCAAGATAGTGCTATAACATGTTATAAATCTGTAGTCTGAACGTACTATTAGCCATCAGCAGCGAGACATTCAAACAGTTTTTAACATCTTGGTAGGAAGCTTACGTTGGTTCAATTTTGTCTTTCTGGACGCCTTGAATAAATTTTCGTATTTGCGGAGTAATTTTGATTGCCCTCTGAACAGCAGCACTATTTTCCAACCATCGGTGACCGCAAAACTTTAGCGGGAATATGGTAGATCTTGCTGGTACATCTTTGAAGATATTGTAGATACCACGCAAATATTTGACAACATCCCAACTAATCCTGCGAACACTATCCTTGAATGTATTATGCAAAATATACAGCCCACAGCTTCCCAGATCTATCAGCTTCTCGCCACCTTTTTGTACCTCTAGCTTCAATTCACATTGGGCCCATCCATGGACACTTGCAGCAACTTGTTCGAAGAAATACCGGCAAGGGCGTCCATAAACGCAGCGAGTAGATCTGATGCCCGGGATCTTCCCAAAAACTTTGACGTCATGCACTGATAAAATTTCAAAGATTGTTTTATGTGTCCCACACATGATTTTTTGCAATGTGATCAACATTATTTTTTTCCCTGACCTACATTAAAATTCCCTGACATTCCCTGACTTTCCAGGTTTTTCCAGGTAGTCGACACCCTGTCAAATTGATTTCGTTGAAAGCAAGGTTAGTTTTCCGTATGATTCAACAGTGTAAAATTTTGCTCTCAATTTTGTTGTGTTAACCGTTAACTCAACCAAAATGACATCAACTGGAGTATTCAAAATAACAGCAAAATTTTATTTCATTTTTTTTATTTTATGTCATTAACACGTAAAAGGTGTGACTATTAACCTAACATTTGAAAAGGGCAAACCAACAACACTAGCGAGGGCGAAGCGAGAGTTTCCCCGATGGTGTGCTGTTTGTTTGCATAAGCAAGCTTCGATTCGCGCGGAAAGGGCATTACAAGTTTTCTCAACAAAAGCTGATACGCCCTTTTCAAATGTTACCCGCGATTTTGCAATTGGCGAGTGTCTACACTCTACACAAATTTAAATTTCGTGTGGGGGGAAAGCCGGTTAAAACATCTCAAAACTGGTCTAAGCAGTTTATGCACAGTAACTTTTACCTCAGTCAATAACCTCAGGTAATTGACCTTTTGCAAACGCCGAAAGATAAACCTAAGTACCAATTGCAACCGAAAAACTCACCGAGTACGACGGTTTATCCTTGATCCGTTCCCATCGGCCTCCCGGGCCGACTTTCATTACAGGATGCATACCTTGGCTGAACAGTTTTGCCTGTTTGTTCAAATTCATCACATTAAACTTGACAATCTGATTCGGCCGTCCGCCTACAAGTGGAAACGAGAAAATCAAGCAAATAACCAACATAGATGCATTTATTGGTAGGAAGTCTGGGAATAGAGTAAAACTCACCCGTCACGGCGAAATAGAACCATGTTCTGTTCTGATTTTCGTAGGGCGTTCCGGCACAATCGGGTCGCGTCCAAAGATTGAACTCCACCTCGACGAACGTTGCCGAGTGGTGGTGTGGCTGGTGGGAAAGCAACTGGTGGTGCAACTCCGGGGAGACGCCACCAGCCGTTGTTGCAGTGCCTACCGGGCCAGACTGTGGAGACAACGGCTGTTGGACAGTAGTAGCAACTGATGATAGCACCGCGGAAGGTGAGCTGCCCCCTCCGGCGACGGCGGCATTGCTCAACATCAGGACGGAGGTCGGAGGCGGTGGAGGCGGACCCTGCAGCAGGGTGGTAGCCCCCGGAGATAGCGACCCACCGGGAACGGTGCATGGTGTAGATAGCGATAGACTGCCACTTGCAACGCTGCTGCTAACATTGCTACCAATTATATTCAGTCCTGAAAAAAGAGAATGGGAGAATAGTTTTACTTTTTTGTTTTTGCTGTTTCGATTTTTGTGTTTGCTTCCTCCCAGCCAGCTGTTTTGCTTTCTTTGCAATGCTCTAGGTGAAATATGGAACGAGCGTGTCGATTTGTATTGTTGCAAAAAAAAAGGGTTCACAAAGGAATGTTTTCGGGACTCCTTTCAGTAAGAAAAATTCAGCAATTAGAGGACGAAAATATTCCAAGAACACTATCTGAATGCACTGCTAGGCGAATTTGCCATTTTTCCACCCCACGTTCACTGGTAGCATGCTAACAAACCGAAAAACAAAAAAAGCTGCAAGAACTAGGTTGTATCGATATTGTGCGATAAGATCTACAGCCAGACGCTAATCAAAAATAACAGATCTTGGAAGCAATCGTAATAAACCACAGAACGATAAAGCCATCGAACGGGAACGACTCCCTGCTAGTATTACATGACCTGGCTTGGAAGTCACCTACAAAGAGCCCAATAAACCACACGCGGTTTATCGGTTTCACCTACATTTACAAAAGCAGCAGCAACCGAAAGTCTTGTCTTGGTATATAACCGCAACTCTTTTTTTTATGACATTTGCGTTTGGAACATGCAACAATTTGGCACCACCAAACAAAAACTTCTGAAAGTGATACACACTAAGGAAGGTACAACGTACAATCTAAAGTGTATTGAGACATTCTTGCTCGAAATGATATTTATCATTGCTAATTGGTTCTTAGGAAGGTTTCAGCAATTCTGTTGGATGTAGCTTAATTAGATTCACCTCAAACAGTGCGTGTCAGGACAATAAAGTCACCGTAATTCTTATAGTCATAAAAACACATTGTATCTCTGTTATTTGTTAATCAATAGTTATGACATTTTAAATACTTTTTAAGCGAAATAACCGAATTGCGATCGTTCCTCAGAATTACACGTAATATTGGATGTCCCTCCCTGAAAAAGTGGTCCATAAATGATTTAAACACTGCTGAATATAATAACAACATTTCACAGGAATTGGTCACAAAGTTGAAAGTTTATGAAAAAATACGGTAATTAAAATTTAATAAAAAAAACTAATATTATCTAATTCTAAAGCAAAAAATTCAAACGTTCTGGAAAAACTATATAGGCGAAATGACGGCTTCGGCATGACAGACTATTTCGGCAACCCAAATTGAGACGGTAATTTAACACGCAGCTGAAATAGAAAAGTTGCCGAATCAAAAGATGTTGCCCACAATAGTCGCTCTCACTCGAGAAGATTGGAGCTTTGTAGAAGCGTTTCAAAACAATTTTTAACAATTCTTTCGACTGAAATTGTTAGAGCAGCTGGCAGCAAAAGATTGTAAACAAACCAATACTGCATATGCGTGTGTTCCTTAGAGAAAAAGGCTATAGAAAGATGGTCGCTGCTTAGGTTGCCAAGAATACGTAAATTCCCATACCTAAGTACTGTTCATTAATGAGAGTAGACACCTGTTTCTCAAAGGAAAATATTTATTTTCGAACAAATTCATAAGTTTACTTTATATAAATGAAAATCAACATACATATGACCGATTTCATGTGAGTTTGAATGTTTACTTCTCATTTCTGAAGAACGCTCGTACTTTTCTCTTGATACCGCCCATTAAATTCTGCACAACTTTCTTCTTAATTTTTTTTCTTCTTGTGTTGCAGACCAAATTTTCTTGAAGCAGTCAACAGAGCTTGCTTCTTTTCCATCTTTCTTAAGATGCCGTTTAATTATTGCCCAGTATCTTTCGATAGGACGCAGTTCAGGGCAGTTTGGGGGACTTTTTCCTTCTTGAGCATCTTAAACGCATAGTGAGCAGATGCCAGATCCGGCCAAAACAATGGAGGATCCGTATGATTTCGGCAGATGGGTAGAAGCCGTTTTTTGATACATTCTTTTCTGTAATTTTCACCATTGATTGTGCCCGTTGTGAAATACGAAGAACTCTTCAAGCCGCAGCAGGAAATGGCTTGCCACACCAAAACCATTTTTCCAAATTTTTAGGTTCGGATGTATCGCACATCATCAGGCACATCTGTCCTCTGCTCAGCGTTGAAAAATTTGCTTCCCGGGAAGTGTATAGCAGCGTTGCCAGATTGTTTGAAAGCTTATCGGTATCGAATGTATTTAAAAATCGGTATTTATCGGTATTTACTATTTTTTAATTTTATATTTTTGCCGTTTTTGAAAGCGAACATTTTAACGATGGTGACGACTGGGATTTGAGAAGGCTTTCTCAGTCTTAAAATAATCTTTAATTTTTTAATTTAATTTTCAAAATTATCGTTGTCCTTAAGTGGTGATCAAAATTGTGACCAAGTAGTGTTTTTTTCAATTAAATATCATTAAATGAAACCAAAATATGGAAAATCAACCACAACAACGAGAAAGCTATTGACAATAATAACAAACAATATTTTCCATTGAAAAAAGCCACAATCTATTACCGAAATGTCGGGCAGATTACATCGTAGTCGTTGCATTGTTTTAAGCTTGAGCTTGAGCTTGATTGACCGCCCACGGTTGCTTCTCTGTTACTGCCAGATCAGCTGTAATTACACAGAGAACCAATAGACGATGCTTGGGACTAGCAATCATCCTCAATGTGCAAAAACTGGTGATCTTAAATTAGGCAATACCAGCGCCGGCCGCGCCCGAACACAGGTCAAGAAAGGAATGGGAAGGATTGTGTTGACATGACACTCGCTTTGATGGAAGCCGAGAACACCTCTGCACTTCCACGAGGAATCACTGGGATGTTGGAGAGGGTTGGGTTTGCAGCAGGGTTCGTTTTGGTAAACGATAAGCTGAATTGATGTCCTAACGATCATATAACGCGAAGGAACTTGGGACTAAACCCACGGTCTTCTGCTTAGTAAGCAAAAACGTTAATCACCGAGTTGCTGTTATTACCATATTAACAAATAAAACGATTGACGAATCTTGAATGTGGATGGGCCTGAGATTAGACTCATGATGTTCTGCTCAGTAAGCAAAAACGGTTGCTCTAAGGCCACCGAGCCCCTAATATCACATAATACCGTTGCTCAAATTTGTGTATCCATTCAAACCCGGAACCAACGACAACAACGAGTTTCGCAAAATACACGATACACAAGCGATTTTACCATAAATCTCTTTGATATGTAAGGACCTGGGACCGCGTTTTTCTGCTCAGTAAGCAGGCCACTGTAACCGACGATCTTTCAAATCCGAAAACTAAAAACTACGAAAAAGTACTTAGGCCTTCATTAAGTTCCACTTTCACGCGACGATCAATGACAGGGTCCTATCAACAATCAATACGAAACTAACGATTTTCAATTGGCTCACTACTTGACTAGCCTATTGGTCCCAAGCAAACGATTAACGTACCCCATTCTAGTGGAAATTCTAGTACTACACTATGTTTGTTTTGATTCGCTATGAAAGTTTGACAGATAAAATGAGGGGTTAGTGGATTTTCCTATGTTTCGAGGGGTGAATCGATTAGCTTGGGACCGAAGAGAGTACCAGAGCTGAGCCAAAAAGTTGAGCACGTTTCTTCGAGACCTACTAGTCTTAGAGTTACCTCTATGGTCCTATCCAGGATTACATCTGAAAAATCCAAATCTGGCCAACGCCCACCCTAAACCTAAACCTGTTCTAATCCACCTGAAATGACTAACGAATGGAAGACTTTGACTACCCAGCCATGCAATAGTCTCATTCCGTGCCTTATGGCAACTTGATGATTCTATTGCGCTCATCTTTTGGCACCACCCAGGGGAGACTTGGTCCTGTACCCAATGCTTAACTTATCTCCATTCCACTCAGCTACTCGCATTTTCTTGTGATATAGTGGGCGGAATATTATTATATGAGACAATTCAATGCAGACGTCTTTCCAAATTTGGCAGATCGACAGGTAATCGGTGAGTTACCACGATAGTTGCTATTCAACAACTCGACAACGTTCCATCGTCAACGCATGCTATGAGAATTTCCCATTGCAGACGCCAACGAAATGACGTCATCGAGCTATCGATCAACTACCCTGGTTATCGCCTGGTACCTTATAGCACGATGCTAGGAGGCGAACCGGAAGAATCGATGAGCTACCTCTCCCCCCGTAGTCGTTGCATTGTTTTAAGACTGAGAAAGCCGTTAATTAAAGCAACATTTTAGCTTTTGAACTATGATCGAAAAATTCCGGAAGAAAACTCTGGGGAATGTTTAAATAAGCTTCTAAATGAAGTTCGAGAAAAGCTGTAAAAACCTCCGGGAAACTTCCAAGACACGAATTGAGAAACTTGGGGCGAAAATTTAAATAAACTATCGGAAAAAATCGGATGTCACATCCAGGGCTGTTACAAGATTTTATAAAAGAAATCCGCGACTTCAAATACTAATCCGCGACAAAAAAAACTGTTTTCATTACCTAAAAAATACCATTTGTATACTAGGTAGGAGCTACATGGCATTTCAAGCTTATTGTTATATGTATAGCATATTAGATTTTAATCTGCTCTCAACCTAGTGTTCTTTGAAGAACCTTCACATTTTAATTGGGAGCTTTCTATGCCTGTACCATCCTATGTCCAAGAAAATAGAGAAATTTTCCAACCCGAAAAATTAATAGACCGGACGAACTCAGTCGCCTCCAGCATGGAGTTGCTTTGTAGGCTACCTACTGAGCTAAAGGAGTATCGTTTGTAACCTAAAAAATAACAATGTATCATCTTCAGTTATTTATGTATAGTATAAATTCTGAGTAATTACTAAACATAATAAAACACCCTTACATGTTGAGATTCTATTGAATAATACCGGCCTAGATTTGACGAAACATTATTAAAAAAAAAATGCATTTTCATTTGAAATGAAACTTTTTTGAAAATTAACCTTTGCGTCTCTGACGTATTTTGCTGTCCTAAATGTTGTAGTTAATTTGGCTCTTGTTTTCTCAATTTTTACCGATTCAAACCAAAC